AAAGAGAAATATAATCCCTTGTAGAATTCAAGTACTTCATGATGGTGATTTAATAGAGGAATTCATCAAAATGCTGATATTCTTGTATGCATTTTATGCCAGTTTAGGTTTGAAAATGTACTGTTCTTAAAGGCATTTTCTTACATTAATTCACACTGATTTAAAATACCTTTCTTTGACTCTGCAGGATTAATTTCTCTGACTGCATTAGAATAAAGGCTCAAGTTATTCTCCAGTGATTGGAACACACAAAGGCAAATGTTCAAGAGTCTTAGCTTTTCCAGAGCTTTCATCCATATCATCGTAGATTAGGCAAAATAAGTGGAAAAAAAAGAAATAGTTTGAGAAAGAAAACACTCCAAAGTCAGAACAGAATTTGCACCCAATACTGCTACAAACACAATCCCGGAACAAGTTTTCTTTGAATTTTTAAACGCCTAAAATTACATTCTCAATTTCAGCTGAGTATTTCTGTGTTCATACCTCGACACTTATTCTTAAGTGATATACATGTGAGACTGCACCCTTGAAAACAAACAAACAAAACTCATAAGCAAAATTACTTTGCATCCTGTATGTTAGGTGCTGTAAGAGGAGAAAAGCCACACAGAAGCAATATACGAAACGCGGGCTCTATTTTACACTGTCCCTTTACCTCTACAGAATTATTTGCACAATTAGCCATTTAAACTGAGTCAGCTTCAGAAAAGAAATTCAGTAATGCAACTGAGCCAAATTATAAGAAATGGTGGAAAACCAAAACTTCTGAGAACATTAATGAAGCAAACTGAACATTGCTGCAAAGATACTTAAGAGTACACTTAAGCAAGAAAAGAATACTTACAAAGTATAAGAAAAATCAGAGAGTATTAGAAAACCATGTATTCTTAAGAAAAATACTTTATGAATAAAAGGAAGTTTCACATTCTGAGTGGAACCACAATCTAGTAAAAGCATCTCAATTTATCCTATTTTTAGGCAAGGAGGTGACAGCATGCAAATATGTGCAGGAGAACAGCTGGGAAGAATCTGCAGGTGGTTCCTTCCAGTCAGCCAAGAGCAACACTTAGACCTCAGAACGGGAAGCTCACTCTCCTGACAGAGTGTATACAGTGACGTCATCAAAACGGAGGGATCGCAGACAAAACTATCTTGTAGCTTTGAGACTTACTGATAGCAAGTAGGGAGGGTTCTCAATGAACTTTCACTGCAAACTAAAAGCATCTGTCCCCATTTACTAAAAGCAGATAATTTGGATTGTCTGCACAAACCAGACCTATTTTCATCAGTATTCATCTGTCTGTATTTTCACGTGTTATCTGTCAAGTCTCTCTGCAGTCAACAGAAATAAAGTGGGATTTTAAGGATACGAGTCATATCACCTCTTTTTAGTCACCCACCTAAGAATGAGATGAATCATATCCTTGAAGATCTTAATTCTCTATGTGATTACAAAGAGCTTCAAATGACTAGCTCAGATGCAGCTGTCTAAATTATGAACATCTAAAACTTAAAAGAGACTATTTCCTCTTCTTACATTCCTGAATTCAAGAGAACGTTTCCCATCCAATATTGTACATGCCACTGGTCAAGTGTTTCTTCCTTCTAATTAAGATAGCCTTGACACTGATGGAAAAAGATTTCTCACTTTTGTTCCGATAGCAAGCACCTATATTATGAAGCAAAACAGCAACAGAACCAGAGGTACATCTCCATTTCCCTAGCATAATATATGACCGTCTGCTGTACACAGTCTCATAGTTCCAGGAACAAGAACTGTTTTGACCCAAGCACAAGAAATTAATATAATGGCACCTATATCTTTAATTTTTAATTTTTTTTTTTTTGACTTCCACGTTTTTGCAGAATGAGTTGAATGTACACAATTAGCCTCCAGATCCTGAAATTAAGAAAAGAATCTGATCAAAATCTCTGATCATGGCTGCCATGTTACAGACAGGCCTATTTTCAGGAAGTCCCATACCTGGGTCACTTTCTGCATTGGTGCTGCTTTAGGAATCATTCATCGCAAGGAAAAATACCCACTTGGCATATCCTTCATATCTGAAAGATTAATTACATTGATGTAAAAATGTTGGTATGCTACACACCATTCCCAGTATGGATCAGTCTTTCCCAGCACATCACAAGCAAAATTGTCCATCCTCACTTGAATGTGTGCTTTTAGTTTAGAGACATACAAACTGCTGGATTAACTGCTCAGTTTTAGTAGGCTTATATGCAGAATAGAATTTCATCCAGCCATGAATCTCAAACCTCGTGATGTTCTAATTGATCTCTATCACAGACTGCAAGCTTCAATCACAGGGATAACTGAAGAAATCCAAGTGGAAGAGTCCTGATGTATCTGAAGTTGTTGCTGTGTTCACCAGTGGAAAAAGAAATGGTACTCTGATGAATCTTCGTAACACACCTATAAATTGTTTTACTGAATTGTAAATGGACTACAGTAATCTGTTAACAGCAAAGGCAACTCAGACATGAGGCCTGATAAAAAAAAAATAAATGCATGAACTCACACGCTCTAATGATCTAAATAGAGCATTGTAACGGTGCAGTGCTGCATACAAACATCCTATAGATGCTGTTGTTACACTGCTGCTTTTTTAATATTTGATGCAGAGGCAGGTTATATTAGATCCTCCAATATGAAAGGATTGGAATGGTCTGAACACCTCTGAGCCCTCAAAACACAAGAGTGATTTAATGTAGTATTACAGTCGTCTTTAAGGTCACATTCAAGGTGCTGGCATATCAGAAACACTGTCCAATGTTTTGAAAAGGGATCATTTATCCAAAAAGTTAAATCCTATATAGGCTTATATCTAAGAAAAGGTAGTCCTGTTTCTAGAGCAACAGGTTTAAATCCACATTTATGGGCAAGGTGAGGAATAACACTCTTTTCAGTACACACATTCAGAAGAAGTTTTCTTGACCGTCTTTTGAAGTTGTGTTGTAGAACACTGTAAAACTCCTCTCTGCTGCAGTGACTGTACTATTTCCAAGTACTGAGTAAACAGACTACTTCAAACATGATGGAGGAACTTAGCAGCTTCAATCAACTTCCTTAAATCCTGCGGAAGCAGCAGTACAGAATGCCAGACATCTTACACTTCCAAGAATTCTTCAGTAACAGATACTGCAAGCCTCCAGAACTTATTCTCTTCCTCCACACGTATTTCTAGCACTTCTACTAATCTTTCGTGTCACTGAAATTTTCATAATCAAGCAGCAGCAAAAGTAACAATGGTGCTTGACTGTCAAAACAGTGATAAAACTAAAGTATTTGAGTATAGGGAGGCTGGAGGTGGAAAACAATGGGAAAGGGGAAGTTCTAACCACAAAGGCGGATCTTACACAAAATGTGTAAGGTTGCTGTTTTACAAGTGATTTAAGTCTTCTGAAGTGGTGATTTTGTTCCAACTTTTACGGGTGACTACATCAAGTCGACAAGGTCATGCCTGAGCTAAGCAGGAGAACAGAGTTGAAAAATTCAGAGATGAGACAAAGTAGGAAAACTGTATTCTCCAAAACGACTAGATGGCAATTGGTTCTTAATTGTGCCTCATGAAAAACTGCTTGTCAGTTCTGGCAAACCTTCCTGCTAGGCTCTAATGGAGGTAAATAATTCACCCTGGAAAAAAGGATCAACTGCAGGAGAAGTTTCTTAGATATTTAGATAGAAATACGTCAGTAAAAAACTGCGTGGAGTAAATGACAACACTACATCTCAAAGGTGACAAAAGTTTGGTTCTCCTGTACTGTGCAATCCCTAAGACTGCAAGCTGTCTGTGTGCTGACAAGAAGTACCATTCCTGC